TTTTTTTTTTTTTTTTAAAAATAGACTAAAAAAATTATTCCGTTTAAGAGCCGAAAAAAGATCCTTCAAAAAAAAAAAAAAGCTTTTCGAACAGTTATAAAACTTCAACTTTTAACAAAATTGTTTGTGGTTGAGACTTATTGTTGAAGCTTCAGTTAAACAGGTAACACCTACGCAAAATACTGTGAGTATTTCATAACCTGTTCAGTGTTGCGAGACCTCGATATGGTTTGGATTAGGGTTAGTTCAAGCCACATCTTTCAGTTTCCTATTGGCAGTTTCGCCAGTGTTGCCGACGGCTGGGAAAACCCGTAGTGTGGCTGACGTTTTCATCATTGTTAATTTCGGGAATTGGTATTCGTCACAAGCCACGGGAGGTTTTAAAGAAGTCCTTGCACAAATTAAAATCAGAGTAGCTTCAAAGAAACACGTGCCTGTAGGACCAAAGTAGGTAATGATTTTCATATTTGAATTTTGTATTGTCTGCTTTGTTTTTGTGTTTTTTTTTTCGAAACGGAAAAATTTGAGCAATACGATAAACTAATATTTTTCTCGAGTTCCGAGCTTCCACTCTGTAGAGCTCCAATTTTAGAATCGAAACATTCTTGAAAACAGTTGTGTTAATTCATGTACTTAAATCTCTTTAAGACTTACAAAATGCAGTTAATAATTAATTAGTTTCCTCTCGAGCAATTTCAAGCTGTGTGTGAGAACTGTTATGATTTGTTTAACTATCTCCAGTTGGATGGATGTTCTGCTAATTTGCCCAGATTTTTCATCTATTGTAAACTAACTCTTCTACAGATTGATACTGTGTCTTTTCGATACTGAGTAGAATGTAAACATTTCTCTTGTACTTCAATGTTTCCTAGTCTATATATCCAAAGCCCATGTTCGGGTGCTGCAAGGTTAATAGTTTACAACAAATGGTTAGTGTCTACACATAGATTCTTAGAACCATAGGCTTCGATTTCTACAACATAACGTCAATGTAAAGCGAGAGTTACTCTAGAATATGATGAAAGTGTGAGCAGTATGAAAAGAGTTGTTTATAACTCGTGATGAAAAATATACTGGTTTTAAATATCCTTATGGTTTAGAAGTTTGGGTTGAAACTGTACAAAGGTTATCTGCGTATAGCCGGCTCTAATTTCAAACTGACTATCTAGCACCAACTGTCAGCTGACTAACTAGCACCCACTGTCAGCTGACTAACTAGCACCCACTGTCAGCTGTATAATTAGCAGCCACTGTTAACTGACTAACTAACACCCACTGTCAGCTGACTAACTAGCACCCACTGTCAACTGACTATCTAGCACCAACTGTCAGTTGACTAACTAGCACCCACTGTCAACTGACTAACTGACACCCACTGTCAGCTGACTAACTAGCACACACTGTCAGCTGACTAACTAGCACCCACTGTCAGCTGATTAATTAGCAGCCACTGTTAACTGACTAACTAACACTCACTGTCAGCGCAGGGTTACGATTATCTGATCAAATACTAGGATTTGACCTCACTCTTTTGATCTAGCGACAGTCTCAAAGTTCAGAGCGCGTTTGGGGGGCACAAGGACGCAAACCATGAATCCTTGGATTCATAGTCCGGATACTTTGACTGTTAGCCATGACGGGCCCCATGGATTAATATGGAAAGTTGTATAGATTGACTATGTTCATACGTAATATGAAGGAATACTATGCATATGTGTGAAATCATGTATATAACTGTGGGACGTCAGGAAGTACGGTATACGTGTAACGTTAACCAATATATCGTGCATGGTATTGAAGTGTTGGTGCTGGTTGAGAATAAGTGTTGTTCGTAATGCAGAAAATGACAGGCTTCATTTAGTACGCGGTTTCCCAAATTTCGGATGGTTAAAATAATTAACAGTTCTATTGGAAAAGAAACGGAACAAGGTAGCTGATACAGTGAGCTCATTTGGGGTTTCCCTTCACGTGCAATTAAATTAGTGCTCGCCAGAAGATATTCCAGCTCAACCGGTTTGGGTGAAATTATATAAGGAGTTTCTTTAGGTGTGCTTCGTTGTTTACGAGACTATGGCTCGTCATTCAAAACTAGTTGGCTCGAGGGGAAAGAAGTGTAGACTGTTAGTTCTAAAATCCAAGCCCATGGTATTACGAAGGGTACAGTTTCCCACGTATTGCTTGTGTTCATTAACTTTGTACGTTTTCATTCATTCGAACGAACGTCTTCTCAACTTTACTTTGGACGGAGCAGCTTGAAAGGTAAGCCGGTCACTTTACTAACTTTCTGTCTATAAAGGCTTGTAACAATAATAGTGAGTACAGCCACATAAAACCCATCGGACGTGTGATAATGTTGGCATTTCCAGTTTAGGTCGGGTAGAAATTTTGTTTCTCGGCCAGTGAATTCTTTGGCATTGGATCCAATGATCCCTTGCCACAAAATTCTTCATTACTGGATCTATTGATCCTCGGGCATATATATATATTTCAACCGAGAAGGGAAATTACTTAAAATTTGCCACTGCTACCAATGTTGACTTTTAGCTTATAGTCTGAAATAGGATTAAGTGCTGCATACATCATATGTTTTGCAAGTTATTTTAAAAGTGTTTAAAAACTCTCAGATGTGTGATAATGTTCATGTTTAGGATTCGAGCTTAATAGTCCGAAATAGGATTAAGTGCTGCATACATCATATGTTTTGCAAGTTATTTTAAAAGTGTTTAAAAACTCTCAGATGTGTGATAATGTTCATGTTTAGGATTCGAGCTTAATAGTTTGAAATAGGATTAAGCGCTACATACATAATTTTTTTATGTCAGTTGTTTTAAAAGAGTTTTATTCAATTATTTTCAGGTACTCATCATGTTATGGAAAGAAACATTCTTATCACTGTGGATTCCAGTTTTATTTTCTACAATCAACTCGAGTAGTATCAGCAGACGACGTCGAGACTGTAAGTAAACATTTCCTCGTTAAACTACAGGGTGTCCAAAAAAGTCTGAAAACACAGGCACTTCAACAAATTTTACAGAATATGTTCCACATGTTGTCCTTTTAATTCGAAACAAGTTTGGAGACGGTACTTTCATTCTCTTTGAACACTACAAAAAATATACGTGTCATTGTCGCAAATATTTTGTTTCAAATGTTCGGTGTCCCTGATCTTCTCTTTGTAGGTTTTGGGGTCCATTCCTTTGGTTGGGACTACGTCTGCCAATTCAGTGTTCTGGGAAGGTATCATTCAACCAATCTCGGACTTCTGTTGCATAATGCAGTGGGGCGCCGTCCTGCATGAACCAGTCACACAGACCGTTGCCATAATTTTCTATCTGAGGCATCATCTGTTCCTACAACATGTGCAAGTAGCATGCATCCTTCACTGATGTATCAAAGAAAAATGGTCCAATCACACGACAGTCTCATAATTCATACCAAACCACAACTTTGGATGCACCTTGTATTTTTTGTTTTTTGCTTTAGTAAACAAGTGGGGGTTGTCTGATGACCACCAGCACATGTTTTGTTTGTTGACTTCTCCCTTCCCATAAAAACTGGCTTTGTCAAAGAAAAGAACAGTTTGAGGGAAGTTCTCATTGGTCTGACATTGTATAATGAACCATTCATGCATCTGCACTCGGTGGTCTGAGTCATCCTCACTGGTTTGTGCAGGAATTGATTTTTATATGAGTGCCATTTTGTCTTAATCAAGATGTCGTGGATCGTCGAATCATTTGGAACGCCAAGAAGTTCCACTGATGTACTATAGAGAGATTTCCAAAAGCTGGTATGCATCTTGACATAAACAGCAACATGTGTTTAGTTAGCAGCTTCCTAACAGCTCTGTGAGTGATGTTTCTCTCTCTAGATGGCATGCATTAAATTCGGCAGCAACCTTCCGCTGGGGCCAATCTTCTCTCCCACACAACAGGATTAACTCGACCTTCTCATACTTTCACAGCGCCATAATCAGTCACGTTTTTAAAATTAAGAAAGGCAAAAAATCACCTATGATTCCAGACTTTTTTTTGGACACCTTGTATATTGTCTAATGTAAGAAGCAAAACTTTGGTATGAAATTTACTTTTGGTGCATGTTTTCCACTAATTATATTTTATAAATCATCGTCAATCAATAAGGAATGAGTTCCACAGTTACCTCATTAGTATCTCCACAGCTTTGCATCAGTCTTGATTCAGTTCAGAATGATACACAAATATTTTCTGATACACATATAAAGCGTACACTTTTCATTTATTTAATATTCATCCTTAGAAACTCGTCGACTTTGGACATTATTTCATTTAACAATGAGTCTTTTAATACAAACTAAACATATTGGACATACATTGTTTGTACTTGTTTACATTGTTTGTACTTGTTTAC